TGTAGTGGATTGAATTATGTTCCCCCAAACTCCCTGAAGCTTGAATTGTGTCCTCCAAGTCTTGCATATTAGAAACTTTAATGTACTAGAAACTGTGACTGTTAAGAGGGTGGGAAATCCTATTATGATCATTGAAAGGTGGAGCTTTAAAGAGGTTACTGGATTGTAGGACCATGCAGTAGTGAATTGATTACAAATGGTGGTCAGGGGCGAGGTTCTGAGGGCTTTGAAAGAAGAGGAGAGTCTGTCTCTCTTGCTCTCTCTGCTTCCACCATCTTGCAATGTGAGATACCTGAGTCACTGTCACCACCATCAGATAGACTTTGGACTTCCCAGCCTCAGAAACTGTAAGCAACAAATGTCATTTTTCTTTATAATCACCCAGTTCATGTATTTTGTTATAAGCAACATAAACGGACTAATACACCCACGCCCACTGATCCCAACCCTGACCCCACAGACACTCCTTCACCCGGATGTTCCAGAGCCCTCTGCATTCCCCGTGGGTAGTCTCATTTACTCCCAGCTACTGCCCTGCCCCATGGGTGCCAGTCACCATGGCTGCTGCCTTCATGCTCATGACAGACCCCAGCATGGCTGTCTCCATCCTCATGACAGACCCCACCATGGCTGTCTCCATCCTCATGACAGACCCCAGCACGGCTGTCTCCGTCCTCATGACAGACCCCACCACGGCTGTCTTCATCCTTCACTAAGGGCCGCTACCTTGGGCTGCCTGTTTCTAAACTCCTCCATAACCCGGCCTGACAATGGGGCTCTTCCGGCCCCTAGAATAAGTTCCTTTGTTGAAATCACTAAATATGCAGCCTCTAATTTAGTTTTACTTCAAGGAGTGTCGGGGAGAAGGATCGCACCCAGAGTTGTTCCTCTCCAGCAACATTGGGCACCTGTCCTGGCTCTTCTGCTGGAGGCTCGTGGGAGGCCAGGCTATGTCCTTTTCTCTGTGCCCACAATTGCTGGCCTAAGCCTTCTGCCCCGTCCATGGTGCCCCTGCCCGGATCACTGTCCAGGTCTTCTCATGTGCTGAGTTCTTTTTCTTATTATAATGTCCTGTAATTCTCTAAGGGGCCTTGGTAGGACCTCCTCTTTGTCACATGACACAGATATTGTCACCACACCTACAGCTTAGGGTGCGGGTGTGAAAATGTCTGTGTACTTTTTTTGTCATTGGGTTATCCTCACAGCAATCCAAGCCTGCGCTTTGCCAAGAGCCAGCGAGGTGGGCTGGGCACCCCCCCGAGCGCAACACTCCTGCCTTGGCATTGGAGATCCTGGCTTGCTGTACAGGAAGTCCTGGAATGTAGAGACACGTGCTTATTACAGGTCTTCATCCATGCTGCTTTCCACGCAGAATGGATTAAACACAAGAACAAGAATTAAAACTCTCATCTGTGTAATTCAGATATTGGGGGTGAAATTTTACCAAGCTCCAAGCAAACATGATGTTTATTTACTCACTTGGATAACATTTCTGAGGCTCTCCTTGGTGCTAAGGACTAATCCCGTTTCTTTCTCTCTGCCGACAATGTGCTCTTTGTCTCTGAATCCACCACCCTGTGTCACCAAGACCACCTCAGAGGACTGTTGCCAGTGGCCATGGACAGTGACTGAGTAGCAGGGACCCCAAAAAGCTCTCTGCTGTGAGCGGCAGTTGTGCTGGCAGGAGACTGTGGCTCACGACCCCGCTGGCCTGGCCGAGTTCTCTGAGGTCCTGTCTCCCCTTCCCTGTGAGGCCAGCCCTGCCTGGCTGTCCAGCCACCGCCCCACCTGCCCCAGCCCGTCCTGTCATCCGGCCGGGCGCTGCCCTGAGAAATCTTTTCTTTGTCTCTTGGCAGGACCAAAATGAACACGTGTCTGCAGCAGTTTTGAAAGATGAATGTGCAACAGATCCACCTCTGTCCCCCATTCACCTGCTCTGCAGAGCAGAAGGAACCGCAGCCGGCGCCAGTGCCTGCCCCTCAGGAAAGCACAGCCCCGCACACGGGGGTCCATGCACTGCACCCCTGAAAAGCACGATCCTAGTCTCAGCATGTGTTCTAAAGAGCAAAGATTGTCTTCAATTGTTTGGTTGGAAAATAAAAGGTAAGGCCAATTATTATTACTAATAATACTATTATTATTACATACTATCACTACCATTATATATTTGTATAATTATAATATATTGATATTATATTGATACCATTAGTAATATTATAAGTAATTGCTGTTACTATTTGCTATTACTAGTATTAGTGGTCTTGTTAACAGGATATTAATTCGAGCACTAATATTTAGTAAGACTAATATTGGACAGCCACCTTAGGAGCTTTGTCAGGACTGACCACCTTGGCTTGAGGTGGCCAGCACTTTAATCAAAGGCTTAGGTGTGCGGAGTCATCTTGACAGAAGCTGTGCACACCATGGAGAAGCTGGCGGAGAGGACCCCTGGAGCTCACGAGTTCCGTGCTGGAGAGTGAAGGTCTTCTGCAGAGCAGAGCACGGTGCCTTCCCACAGAGGCAGCTTCTAGTTCTGTCAAGATAAGCATGTGCAAATCAAGGCACAGACCCAAGCTACACTATGCAAAATAGAGAGGGCCAACTCACAGCAATGACGACTTAGAATTCAGGACTCTGTGGTTGTGCTCTTCTGCTTTCTTATACACACATGCACACACCCACTTAAACACACATATGCAGGTGCTTCAAAAAGTTTGTGGAAGAACAGAATTGAAAGATAATATGAATCCTTCCCTGAACTTTTTGAAGTACCCTCATATACACAATACGCATACAACACACACACACACAAAAACCATACACACATACACAACATGCACGCAGGCACATACACATGCACACACACACACTCACATGCATACATACACCCACACATGTGCCCATGGCATGTGTAGTGACTTAGGATGTTCTGGAAGGACAGAAACAGTGTGCGTCCCACACACTCCGGTGAGTGAGCCTGCAGGGATTATCTTCTGCCCATTCAGCCAGCCAGTCCACGTCTGTCCTCCAGGCACCCGGCTGCTCTACTGCAGGTTTCCTCACCTCACAGCGCCAAGGTGTTGGGTGGGGTCCCTCTTTGTTGTGGGGAATTCTGCAACTCGAGGGCCTCCAGCAGTACCCCTGGCCTTCCCCCACAAGGTGACACTTCCCAGCCCCAAGTAGAGGCCATTGATGTCTCCAGACATTGCTGACAGCGCCTGAGGAGTATGCTCGTGGGTCTACAGGAATGGCAAGAACAAGGCAACAGAAACACGGCCCCCGAGGGTGGGCAGAAGCCAAGTGGGGCAGGTGGTCCCAAGAACAGGGGTCCATTCATCTGAACAGAGCAGTGCCACGATCACCTCTCCAGGCCTTGTGGGCTGCTCTGTGGAGGACGGACCACAGCAGAGTCGATGGAGAGGAACCAAGCACAGGGTACCAGGAGCTATCTGTGACAGGCAGCAGCGGCTCAGCCAGGGCAGTGGTGAGATGGTGAGAAGTGGATGGATGAGAACTACATGGGGTGGCCGGGAGGATGTCAAAGGACACAGAGCTGACTCGAATGGGCTCACGGTGGCCAACACCAAGATGGTCGAGCAGCAAATTTCCAGGAGTCGTGGATTACAGAGCACAAAATAAAATTAACACCACGAGTCTGTGCTAATATAAAAATAGTCACATTAATAAACAAAGGAAGAGAAGAGACAGCTTTCTTTATGGTGGAATTTCAATTAATAAATATAGAGGGAATGATGAAAACAGAAAACCACCACTTGGCAGAAGCCACAATCATAATTGTCGCAGCAGGAATCCTCACCGGATGCTAGTTAGTGAGCCAATGTGCAACGGGAAACGGGATTTGCAGAGTCTCAAATATCTCCATCAAGGTATGTATTAATAACAAAAGGGAAATAGTAGGTTTGCAGGGGAGAAACCCAGCAGACCGACTCCGAGCAGGTCCACTCAGCAGAAGATGCGTGCGTTCACCCATCCCTCCTGAGACCGTGCGTGGTGAAGGCACTGGCACTTCTGTGGATTCTTGAAAAAGGACAAAACTATGACTCAAACCATGAGGAAACACGAGAAGAGCCCAAATTGAGGGACATTCTGAGCAGCACTCGTCAAGAGAGTCCAGGTGCTGACGAAGACAGACAGAGGATCTGGCTCGGATTGGAGGCGTGAGGACCAGGTGCAGCACAGACGCCACCAGGTGGGGTCCCAGAGAAGGGCAAGGGTGCAGCAGCCGTGGGCGAGTGCCCAGTGCAGAGCCAAGCACAGCGTATGTCATTGCAGGGTACGTGCCCGAGGAAGGCGTAGTGCGCTGCCCATGTCCTGCATGCCACACAGGCGGCGCCTGGCCGAGACCAAGCAGCAGCCCCATCCAGAGCAGGCCAGCAGCTCGGCAGGTTGTCAGAAGCTGGCACACTGACTATGAGATGCAAGGCCCCTGAGAGTCTGACCCAACACCGCCCCTCCCTGGCTGGAATCTAGTCACCCAGCCGGGCAAGCTGGCTGGATGCCCGGCTCCTCACCCTTGCAAGGTGGAATTTTCGTTTCCTTCCTGGGATGCATGTTTTAGAATCCGCTGGGACATGGGGCTTGCTGGGCTGAGTGGGTGGTTTTCTCCTTCATTCATTGAGTGCGTGTTGCAACGTCCTAGTGGAAATGAACCGACTCGGTAACACCGTGTTTAGCACCAAGGCTTCAGGGTTGCCGACCCGGAATGTGGAGAGGAGCCCCTGCTGGAATGGGGCTGGTTTACTCCATTTGCATTTTCAAATCAGTTGGGTTTTCAGCAAAATAGGAAGAGATAATGCCATGTTTTGGGTTTTTTATTTTATTTTTTTAAGTGCTAGAAGTACCCAATGGGTTATTTAGGTCAGTGATTCGCTGGAATGGGGCTGGTTTACTCCATTTGCATTTTCAAATCAGTTGGGTTTTCAGCAAAATAGGAAGAGATAATGCCATGTTTTTGGTTTTTTATTTTATTTTTTTAAGTGCTAGAAGTACCCAATGGGTTATTTAGGTCAGTGATTTCAAACACCACCATCCTCATCATTGTTATTACTTTTATCTGTCAGAGAAACGCCTTCTTCGAGCTGACCCCTGTGTGGCGGCCCAGCCCCTGAGCAGACAGAAGTGAATGGGGTATGTTTTGGGGGCTGAGCTTGAGGAAGGGCATCGATGGGGTCCCTCCTGCCCTGATCTGCCTCCTCCCCATCAGGCCTATAAAGGACTCCTCTGAGGCCCTGGATCTTGGCTTAAATGCCACCTTGTCCAACATCCTCCTTTTATGACCCATTGTTCTCTCCTGAAGCCACAGCACCCAGTCTGGTCATGGCTACTACTCACACATCCAGCAAATAGATAGTAAGTGCCTACTGTATGCCGGGTCCTGCGAGAGGCGGACAGGGGAGGGACAGAGTGTGGGCGAATTGGGGCGTTAGGGAGGTCGCCAGGGAAGCTCACGGAGCTCTGCGGGTTGAGCCTTGGCACAGGGGGAGGAACACCGGATAACACTTTAGGGCGGGGGCTGCAAAGCAACAGCTTGCTTCTAGCAAAGCTGCTAGATTTGGAGCAAGGGTGGGTGGGGGCTCTCCTGGGTGTTGGGCCAGGTGCCTGGGCTGTGCCTTGGGGGGCCCATGTGGTCACCCTCAGCAGAGAGATGCAGCCGCTGCTCCTCGCATGGCCTCCCCCCGTGCCTCCCAAGGAGGAA